TATTCAGCAACAGGACAGCCAATATATAAAAAGCCACGCCCACTAACTGACGATGAATATTATGAAAATGAACGAGTGAAGAGAAACTCAAAGAAGGTGAACACAGCCAGTGGAGGAAGGTTCTGTCAGATATTTGTGGCTGTGGATCATTTGTTCTTACAACATGTGGTGGGCGGTTCAGAAACAATGGCAATATCAGAAGTGACTACAATATTCTCAAGTTCCCAGAACATATTTCAAACTACAGACTTTGATTCAAATGGACAGTTTGACGGCATTACCCCTCAACTGGTCCGTACTGATATTCTCAACCGTGATTCTTACAATGGGAAGTTCAGGAGTGATAACATTGACGTTAATAGATACCTCAACCTTTGGTCCGAGATTGACCATTCTACCTACTGTCTGGCACTATTAGTGACCTACCGGTAAGATATGTATACCATTGAACCATTATACCATATTGTACCAATATACCGATACACCATTATACCATTGAACCATAGTGCCATTACCCATTGTTTGTTTCTAGTGATTTCAGTGATGGTGTATTAGGTTTGGCGTGGGTAGCTCAGCCCCCCGGGGGTTCTTCAGGGGGTATTTGTGAGGGACGGGTCCGACTCTCAATTGGAGAGAGATCATTAAACACTGCCATAGCTTCTTACCTCAACTATGGTGCTAGGCAACCCAGGGGTGTGGTCACTATCACTGTGGCTCATGAGTTTGGACACAACTTTGGATCACCCGTAAATTAATTAATTTATTTATTATTATTATTATTATTATTATTATTATTATTATTATTAATAGCACGATCCAGAGTCCAGTCAGTGTTCTCCTGGTGGTTCAGGAGGTAATTACATCATGTATCCTAGAGCTACTGACGGGAGACAGGACAATAATGACCGATTCTCTCCTTGTTCAATAAACTCAATATACTCTGTACTGACCACCAAATCAACATGTTTCACTAGTAAGAACTGTTATTATTATTATTATTATTATTATTATTATTATTATTATTATTATTGTTATTATTATTATTATTATTATTATTATTATTATTAAATTAGATGATGGTGCATTTTGTGGTAATGCTATACGTGAGCTAGGAGAGAGGTGTGACTGTGGTATCGGAGATCAAACTGATTGCAATAGAGTGGACCCGTGCTGTACTGCTGGTGAATGCACACTCAATCCTAATGCAGAATGCAGGTAATGTCTAATGCACAATGTGCCTCTATGTTATGACAAGACTATGTACTCTTGGTTATGATCAATTTAAGACAATTTTGAAAAATACCCAAGGCTATAGCCCATGGCTTTTTCCAAAAAATGGCCAAAAAAATCACCCCAAATTTTTATTACATTTTCTGATACATATTGATGTCCTTATGCTGTGTAGAAAGTTTGAGCTGATTACGACTTCAATTTTTCAAGTTACGGCTATTTTAAGAAAATGCCAAAAATCTGAAAAATACCCAAGGCTATAGCCCATGGTTTTTCCCAAAAAATGGCTCCGAAATCACACCAAATTTTTATTACATTTTCTGATGCATATTGATGTACTTATGCTGTGTAGAAAGTTTGAGCTGATTCTGACTTCAATTTTTCAAGTTACGGCCATTTTAAGAAAATGCCAAAAATCTGAAAAATACCCAAGGCTATAGTCCTTGGTTTTTTCCAAAAAACTGCTCAAAAATCACCCCAAGTTTTTATTACATTTTCTGATATATATTGATGTCCTTATGCTGTGTAGAAAGTTTGAGCTGATTACGACTTCAATTTTTCAAGTTACGGCCATTTTAAGAAAATGCCAAAATTCTGAAAAATACCCAAGGCTATAGTCCTTGGTTGTTTCCAAAAAACTGCTCAAAAATTACCCCAAATTTTTATTAGAGCCATTTTAAGGAAACATAAAAATTCTGAAAATATAGTACAGGGACTTTAGTCCGATTTTGGAGCAACTTTAAAAATTAGTAAAAAAATCTAATTTCAATTGAAATGAGCTCAAACTTTCTACACAACTTACATGTACTGTACATGTATATTCATCAAGAAATGTTGCATTATTATTATTATTATTATTATTATTATTATTATTATTATTATTATTATTATTATTATTATTATTATTATTATTATTTCTAGTGCAACTGATGGTTGTTGTGTCCAGTTGTCAGAATGCCACTGCTGGGTATGTATGCCGTGAAGAGACGGAATGTGCTGCTGAGTCATTGTG